CCGTGCGACAAGGATAATTTAATTTATTTGATTCACGAAATCGAAAAATCGTAGTACCCATCCGCCAGGACGGCATTCTTTGAACTAGTACGAGCGAGATCCGTTTATATTTTTTTTCTCACTATTTAGTGTGCAGCAAAGCTCAGTTATTAATCTCTGTGACGCTGACACCCTCACCATTATTCCACAACCTGGCATCGAATCCAACTGCATTATATTAATGGCGAACGTCCGCCGCTATTATCATGCTTACCGCGGTTACTGAAAGAAGTAACCGTGTGCGTACATATTATTGTTTTACGGGGGGGGGGGGGGGCGTGCCACTATTATACACTATAAAGCGCCATCCTTTGTCAGACAAATGAACTAGATATAATTATAATCGAGATAAATAAACGAAAGATGTTATTCAGATATCATATCATATTAAGGCAAAGTGGTTGAACTACAAGCTCGTGTTTACTAGCTCGGTAACCGACTTACTACTAGTCTCGTACATCAAAGGGCTTTGTAACTGGCGTGAAACCTATACAACGGTTAGAATTGTCATTTTAAAGGTCACGGCTAATCCCGCAAAAACGTGATCGAAACGCCATCCCATACACATAAACATACTGAATACAATCATCTGTTTATTGACCTAGGCTATCGTTTCACATACCCATAATTTGTAACCTTGTTGTTGGATAGCGAATTGGGAAATGGCATTTTGACGTTTGTTCGCGTGGCCATCTCTCTGTGTCCGGATCGCCTCTAACCTGCCCCGTCCACGTTCGAAATAGTATGATGTGACGTCTCAACTAGATCGCCCCGTGGGGGTGGGGGTGGGGGTGGGGGTGGGGGGGGGTGTAGATAAGTAACTGACGACGAAATCGTTGGAAAAAAATGTTATTTAGGTAATGTTCACAGTGCATGTTTTAAAAATAAAGTTTGTACATTTTACACGAGTTTTGCTTGCATAAAAATGTACTGATACTACCCCACGATCACGATCACACATACGACTTCTTTCATTGCGACAGTGCATTACTACTACGTCACTCGGGAACCTCCAATGCGCACATTTACTCTGTCATCGTCACTTCCTGTTGATACTGTATTGTGACGTGTGCGCGAGGAAGTGGAATGCAAATTACTATTTTTTGACAGCTGCTATTTCATGTGGATAATAAGCACACATTCCCAGCCTCAATATAAATTCATCTAGTGTATCCCCTGTAATACACCCTATTTACTATAGACGAAACATAACTAAAGATAACTAAAACATTAAAAATATTCGATATTGCTTCGAACTTTGAATATTGAATGACGAATTTCAAACTTTCCAGAGAAAATTCGAAGTTACGTTACATGTAATATTTATTATCAGTTTGTTTTCAGTTAAGGCCCAAAAAAACTTATGTTATCCTCAAGCCGGAAAATTGAAAAATTGGTCGGTCGATCGGATTTTTTTTTAAAACTCGTGAAAACTAAGGGTATCGTAAGTAGCCGAGGTATATGGGAAAAAAACGCGACCCGATATTTCATATTTTTCGGTCGATCACTGAAGGCAACAAAACAATTTGTTTTGGCCTAATGTAGCGTTCAAATCTTCTTTAATATAATCACGCCATAATTCCTAATCACACATGCGACATGCGCAATTGCTCATTCATTGAAATCGGTCAGGTATTTCAGAATAACGTGATTTTTTAAAAACGTTATTAATATACCATTAGCTGCAAATGGCTGCCGAAATCTCGTCAAGAACGAGAGCGTAACGAGACTTGCTTCCCTCTCCAATAGTGTTCCATTCTGTACCGTCATCGCGTCTATAGTTCCACTGAACTATGCTAGCTTGCTTTCTGTAACATGAACATTATAGTTCGTATGTAGCTCCACAACCTGGTCACCATAGCGCATCAACAAATTTAAAATGAAATACTCAATAAATAATCAAATATATAATTTGACGCTTATGTTTTGATGAAGGATGTGTAGAACAAAAAAATAATACTACATATACACACGCATCCGGTGTTTCTTTCATGAGTATATGTCAATTATTATTAAATATGTCATTTCTGCATACCATGTAATGGTAACAGGCTGAGAGATGAAAACATGAGAGGTTGTTTGCCACAGCTGTTCAACAAGAATAACTCACTTGACAAAGTGTGCGGTGCAATATATATAAAACAAGTTTCAGTGTCATTATCGATTAATAAGCGATTATTTTCTGTCAAACAAGTTTATTAACGAATCGGTCATGGTCAGGAGAATAATCCTGGGCAACTATCCGTTTTTATATGCCCATCATTGTGATTCTCTCATACATTCAACTTCAACAATCCTTTCAGCAAAGGATCAATACGATATGTATTCTATGGATGGAGTTTGTTAGTGATTACACTCACTGTAAAATTGTCTCAAACTAAGTACGAATACAACTAATGATTGCACTGTGCACTGTAAATCTCGGAAGCACTTTCATGTTTTTCTTTAAAACATACCGTTTTAATTGAAAACACACTGTTGTAATTAAAAACATGTGTATTATATGATAAAACACTTGTATTTTCTATTAAAATAGTAGTGTTTCATTATTTTTAGAAAAA